ATGTCAGCTTGGGATGAGAATGCGTTGGGTTCACACAACTTCATGAATGAACCTCATGACATTATTCTAAAGTTTTTTCTCTGCTATTAATCATTGAACTGCCAGAACAACTCATTGCGCAATCACTGCTCCTTATTTTCATCCTGCGAAGAACATGATGGCAGCGTAGGCAATCCGAATCCAGCGCCATTTCTATGGTGAACATGGCTCATAATATCCAATACACCTATAGAAATGTGATTTGCATTTGACTGAAGTGGATTAAAACAATGGCCAGTAACACACCAACTGTATGTGAGTTCATCTTTTGTGCTATGCATTGAGGTAGGGGTGTGCGATATGCCGATTTTTAATTGTGGACGATTAAAATTTCTCCACGATCTGCTTTTGAGAAATATCGTAGTATCGTGTTACAGTGCATTCTATCAGAAGAGTTCTGGCGCCTCCGTCTAAACTGTACAACGCGACGTAGCCTAGACATCACACGTTAATGAATAGGTACGGGACACTGCAATTCACAAAAGTTCATTATTTGCATAAGCCTTGCCGGTTAAACATCACGAGCTGATGCGCTGTTCTAACGTGCACTTTCCTGACCGCATACCCCTGACGCTCACAGGCACTAGAAGCCTGTCAAACAGCGCCTGAATACTGGACTAAGTTATCTTTCGAGTCTTATTATGCTAATACTGTTAAATATACACAATGTTTACATAAACAGGCTACGTCTAAAGTGAAAGCAAACATTTGAGAGAATATCTGGTGTAATATGCGTCTATATTAAAAGCGTCGCGTGTTGGTCTAAAAGCGACAGGAATAGTACTGCCGCTTGTCCTTAAAGGGATAGTTCACAAAAAAAAAAAAAAATAAATAAAAAATCTGTCATTATTTACTCACTCTAATGTTGTTCCAAACCTGTATTCATTTCTTTCTTGTGCTGAACACAAAAGACGATTTTTTTAATGTGGGTAACCAAACAGTTGCTGGTCCCCATTAACTTCCAGGAGAGAACCTATAAAAAACAGGGGGACCAGCAACTGTTCGGTTACCCACATTATTCAAAATAACTTTTATTTTCAACAGAAGAAAGAAACTTATTCAGGTTTAAAACATCTTGAAAATTAAGACCATTTTCATTTTTGAGGGAACTATTCCTTTAATAAAAAAATAAATAAAAAAATAAAAAAAAAACAAGGAGAAAATCACTCACTGAGCGAGAACTTTAATAGTAGCTTTAATAAGAATCAATTTATTCAGTGAAGTCTATGTAGTGTTTTAATTTCATATTTGTTAATTTAATTACTTTCTTCAATGCTACTGCTAAATACACCTACTGCATCTGAAAAAATAAAGCACTATTTATTTAATTTGAATATTAATTTGTGTAATGTTTATCTTGTCTTAATTTTTTAATAACAAAGAAAATAATGACAAAGATTTTTATCTTCGCCACTGGCCTAAATGTATGCCTTTCTTTTTTTCTTTTGTTACCTAAGGATTTGTTTTTAACATTAGTTTGGCTGTAATGAACAGCCACTTGCAAAATATTAAAACCAAATTGAAAAAGAATCGTGATAAAAAATCGTGATCGTGATTTTCATGATATGATATTTTTTCCATATCGCCCACCCCTACATTGAGGTTTGTGAATAATGGAGATCAAAATAAATAACCAGACTTCTCAGCAAATAATCAGAACCACCCATCAATAACTTTCTTCAGTTGAACACAAAAGAACATATTTTGAAGAATGTTCCACCTTATTTTTCCATCATTGTGAAAAACAACATCGGACACCACCGACTATCATTTTATCATAAAAAAAAACACATTTTGCAAAACAAAATAAGTCATTTTTCCAATATTTGGTCTTTTTATGTGAATGTGACACCTGGTGTACACGACTTGATCAAATCTTGTTTTGAAAGGGAGCAAAGCATGCTGGAGATTTAGGATAGATTTCATGTCATTTGTTGTTAGATTCTTTTTGCCACTTGTTTACTACAGTATCTAACAATTCAGAGTTGTGTTCCGCAGAAGAAAGAAGGCCATATAGGTTTATGTTTCTGACAGAATTTTCATTTTGGTGCGAACTTACAATTATTATAGTTCAAAAAGTGATCTGATTATCTTATTCAAAAAGCTACGCCCTCATTAAAGTTCTTCCGCTCACATTTACCACAGGATGTGCCCTCGGAAGACGCAACGGCCAACATCCCCCCCTAATAAGTCAGCTGTCCGAGCGTGCTGATTCAGGAACTCTTTGAGTAATTATGCCCACTGTTCTACGTTCATTTCACACTCTCTTTCTCTGCGCACCGCTTGGCTCAATGGCCGGAGGATGCAGAAGCCCTCTGCGTGACCTGGCTCCTCCGTTCTTGGGCCTGACCAAACAGCGCTATTGATCCCTGGATCCGAAGCTCTTCCCGCTGCGTCTGGAGCCGGGGGGATCTGCGGGGGGCCACTGATCTCTCGCACTTCACCTTTCATTCCCACAGTCCATTAGAAAGGTGTCAGGCATTAAACTGTGCAGGGGATAATGCCTTTAAGTCACACCTTCAGAAAGAAGAAGAGCGGAGGAAGACGATCGAGAGAGGGGGAGGAAGATAATGGAGCGTCCCTGTAATGACCTTTTTCTTGGGAAACCCTGTGTAAACACAACTAATGTAATAGCAAAGCGTGATAAGCATGAGCCACCATGTCCTCTTTCTGTTTCTCCTTCTCTTTCTCTCTACTATCTGCAGAACAGCATGATTCTCTTTGGCACACAGATCCCTTTTGTAGTCAGGGGAGAAATCCCTCTCCTGCTCTGCTGTTTAATGGTCTTATCTGCAGCGAGGAGAAGATTAGGCCGTGACGGGCGTGTAAGAGCCGGTGTGAGGCGGCAGGATTACACATGACGGTGGGAGGAGCTGGGAGGAGCCGCAGGGACCCGTGGGCCCGTAGTGAGGACCTCAGGGGATCCTGGAGGTGGATGGGAGGTTGTAGCTGATTCCAATCAACCTGAGCATTGTAAAATGTGTCCAAAAATGATGCTACTGCTTCACACATTCAGTGACAGATGAAAGAAAAGCTGGAGAGGACAGAAATCGGCAAATGAGTGTGCCTGTGTTCTTCGTCTACTCTCACTGTAAATTAATTATAACACCTTCCTTATGAGGCACTATCAATCTTTGATGGAAATACATATATTTTTAAATACAAATTATAAAATAAGGCATATTAATTTGTAATATTTATTTGCTATTTTTTACATTTATATACTATTCAACGTTCATTGGCAAATCTTTTATCACTTGTTTTTGGAAAAAAATGTCCCTGTGTTTTGATCCAGAGATCCTGTACTCTTCCTGAAGATGTGTAATAGCACTGCCTACTGTATAACAGTGAAAGTTGCGTGATCCTGGTCAAGACAATCTCCTGAACTCCAAACTGAATGTCAGAATGGGAAAGAAAGGTGATTTAAGCAATTTTGAGCGTGGCATGGTTGTTGGCGCCAGACGGGCCGGTCTGAGTATTTCACAATCTGCTCAGTTACTGGGATTTTCACGCACAACCATTTCTAGGGTTTACAAATAATGGTGTGAAAAGGGAAAACATCCAGTATGCGGCAGTCATGTGGGGAAAAATGCCTTGTTGATGCTAGAGGTCAGAGGAGAATGGGCCGACTGATTCAAGCTGATAGAAGAGCAGCTTTGACTGAAATAACCACTCGACTTAACCGAGTTATGCACAACACGTAATGCCTTGAGGCGGACAGGCTAAAACAGCAGAAGACCCCACTGGGTACCACTCATCTCCACTACAAATAGGAAAAAGAGACTACAATTTGCAAGAGCTCACCAAAATTGGACAGTTGAAGACTGGAAAAATGTTGCCTGGTCTGATTTCTGTTGAGACATTCAGATGGGAGAGTCAGAATTTGGCGTAAACAGAATGAGAACATGGATCCATCATGCCTTGTTACCACTGTGCAGGCTGGTGGTGGTGGTGTAATGGAGTGAGGGATGTTTTCTTGGCACAATTTAGGCACCTTAGTGCCAATTGGGCATTGTTTAAATGCCACGGCCTACCTGAGCATTGTTTCTGACCATGTCCATCCCTTTGGCCACCATGTACCCATCCTCTTATGGCTACTTCCAGCAGGATAATGCACCATGTCACAAAGCTTGAATCATTTCAAACTGGTTTCAAACGAGTTCGCTGTACTAAAATGGCCCCCACAGTCACCAGATCTCAACCCAATAGAGCATCATTGGGATGTGGGGGAACGGGAGCTTCGTGCCCTGGATGTGCGTCCCACAAATCTCCATCAACTGCAAGATGCTGTCCTATTAATACGGGCCAAGATTTCTAAAGAATACTTTCAGCACCTTGTTGAATCAATGCCACGTATAGAATTAAGGCAGTTCTGAAGGTGAAAGGGGGTCAAACACAGTATTATTGGTGTTCCTAAAAATATGTGAGTGTACACTGTAAAAAGTAATTGCTGATTCTACTTAAGAAAAACTAGTGAATTTAACTTACTTTAGAAACTTAGTTGATTTAACTTGATCACACTGTGTACTATGAACTTTTAGGTGGATGCAATAGTCAAACTAAACAAATCTAGTACATTGTACTTAAGATTGGTAAGTGTATTGTACTAAAAGCATTTTCACACTGTTGCAAATTTCTGGAGCACAGAATTTGGATAGTAATAATAATAATAATAGTGAAATTAACAACATTTTTAGTAAATACCATTCAATTAGTTTGAAAATAGCTAAATATAGTTAATAGGTTAATATATAGTTAACAGGTTCTGAATCTTTTTTTCCTGCACGCTTAAAAATAACTGGGAAGATAAAAAGCAAGCCCATCGGCTGCTACTTCACAGTCCTTTATATTTTTAATAACAAAGCTTTATATATTTACTTTGGTTATTAAGTTTCAGCATGAGACGAAACAACTCGGGTTTTTTTTTTCATCTCGCGCATGCGCATTTGCGCAATTGGACGGTTGAACTTGAGGAGGAAGACGAGACGACATCGACGAGGGACTTCAGCTCGTGTTCGGGAATGGATGCGGCAGCAAAACTAGGTATGGTAGCCTCTTGAACAACTATTTATCAACTTTAATGTGATTGTATAGCTTAAAAACAGAATTTATTTTGCTCATTGTGCAGTAAGAGGAAAATACACACTGAAGTAACGTTAGTTTTATGTCGAATGAGACCAGTTGAGACAAGCGGCATAACATAAGTTACTAGATTAAAAAACGATTTTTACTGAACACGTGTTTTATATTAGTTACAGTTTGTATGCTGTGTTAATCGTTTATAAGTTTGGGATTTATCTAATAATATGTAAAAACCCTGGCTGTGCGGCCTAGATAGCAGCTAACGTAACTTCTTTCTAGAAAGTTCAATGCTCACGTGTCGTTCACATGAAAATTAATAACACAATGCATTAAGAAGTGTTATTACCTTATTTTGTCTTTATTTTGTGACAGATTCACTCAACGTTTCATCAATAAATTAAAGGCTAAATCTGGAGACATTGGCTCCAAACTTAAGATTCTGCAGCAGATTCAAAATGACGTAAGCTCATCGACATATCACAATTATGTCTCGATTGCAAAACATATGTTGCTTTTGCTGTTTTTTGCTCTGACGTTTTGCTAGTATCGAGTGCTAATTCAATATACATTTTCATAACTTTGCAGAAATCCAATATCAATGCGGAACGAACAGCGTTCTTCATCATGGCCTAGTTCTCAGAGAGGACCACAATGATTTTTACAAGACATCTTTTGTAAGTATTTTCATCTCTGATGTGATTCTTGTTTAACAGTCTAACTGTTCTTCAAACAGTTGATATCTGGCAAGAAGAGTTATAAAGGCATGAAAAACAGTCAGGACAGTGAAACAAAGTAAGGGTTGGAGAAAAGAAAGTGAAAGATAAATTAAGAGTTTAGAAGAAAAAAGACAGTTATAAGATACATTTTATATTAGTTTTAATTTATATAACCGGCCATCAGTTTTATTTGTCTTTTCATGCAGTGGTTTGATGAATGTTTTCCCCCCTGGATTCACTGCTGTGTCCTCTTTGAAAAGGCCTTTACATTTAGACACAAAGGGTTATTAATTTAGTTTCATATTTTAATGACTATGTGCTCTTAAAGGGATAGATCACCCAAAATGAAATGATGTTGTTATTTACTCACCCTTAAGTTATTCCAAACCTGTTTGAGTTTCTTTCTTATATTGAACACAAAATAATATATTTTGAATAAGTTCGGTAATCAAACAGTTGAGATTATCCATTGACTTCCATAGTTTTTTATCCCACTATGGAAGTCAATGGCTACTCTCAACAGTCTGGTTACCAACATTCATCAAAATATCTTCTTTCAGTTCAGCAGATGAAAAAAAACTCATACAGGTTTATAACAACTTGAGGGTGAGTAAATTATGACAAGATTTTAATTTTTGAGTGAACTATCCCTTTAAAGTAACACTCCACCATTTTGTTCCATATTAAACTATGTTATTCCCTTAACAAAGACGAGTTGATGAATACCTCTCTCGTCTCAGTGCCTGCACTCAATCGCTCTGGTGCATGGAGACACATTGTTAGCACTTAGCTTAGCCCAGTTCATTCATTAGGATGCAAATTGAGATGAAGTTAGAAGTGACCAAACACCGCCATATTTTATTTTGTGTCACCATACTTGGCCGTGTAACCGCATTTGAATAGAGAAAATGTGGAGATGTTTGGTCGCTTCTCTGTTTGGATCCTAATTAATAAACTGGGCTAAGCTAAGTGTTAAAGTGTCTCCGCACGCCAGAGCCATTGACGACAGAGGTATGTATCAACTCGTCTTAGTAAAGAGAGTAACATAGTTTAATATGAAAAAATAGTGGAGTGTTCCGTTAAAATATGTCTTGTTCTATTACCTAATTTTTGTTATATGCTATTCCCATTTTTAGGACTGTGATGACAATGAAGATATGTCCAACATTGAAATGTGTTCTGACAGTGATTCCCGAGTCGTCTGCAACCGCTGCCATACCCTACTCCCTGCATCTTGATGCCACAACAACGGCAATGATTCTGGAAGGTACAGTGGTTGTGGATGATCTTGAAAATCTTCCACAAGCAATGAGCTGTCTTTAAAGGAACACTCCACCATTTTGTTTTTATATTAAACTATGTTATTCCCTTAACTAAGACAAGTTGATACATACCTCTCTCGTTTCAGTGCGCCATTCATTAGGATCCAAGCAGAGAAGCAACCAAACACCTCCACATTTTCCCTATTTAAATACAGCTACACAAGAAGTTACACGACCAAGTATGGTGACAAAATAAAACGTGCCGCTTTTCTAAGCGTGTAAAGTGGAGAACTACAATGTATGGCGGAATAGCACTTGAGAGCGCTTTGACTTGGCACAGTAATATCATCACTACTGATGATGAGAGGATTTTTTAGAAGTGACTATATTACTGTGCCAAGTCGAAGTGCTCTCAAGTGCTATTCCGCCATACATTATAGTTATCCATTTTACACTGGTGTAATCATACACCATTCTCGGTCATGTAACTACTTACCAACGTGTAACTGTATTTAAATAGGGAAAACGTGGAGGTGTTTGGTCGCTTCTAACTTCATCTCTTTTTGGATCCTAATGAATAAACTGTGCTAAGCTAAGTGCTATCAATGTGTCGCGTCACGCCAGAGCGATTGAGTGCACGCACTGAGACGCGAGAGGTATGTATCAACTCGTCTTTGTTAAGGAAATAACATAGTTTAAAGGGATAGTTCACTTTGAAATTAATTTTTTTGGTTACACTTTATTTTGATAGTCACTTTAGACGTTCTACTAATTATAAGTAACTTTTCAACTACACGTCAACTAACTCTCATTAGAGTAGTAGTATATTATAGTAGACTGTTAGTAGACTGTTAGGTTATGGTTAGGTGTTAGGGTTCGGGTTAGGAGAATACTGTAAGTTTACTTGTAGTCGCCAAGTTACTTATAGTCAGTTGAATGTCTGTTGGGGGACCAACAAAATAAAGTGTTAGCAGATATTAAGCTGACAATCTACTAATCCTCTAATGACAGTTAGTTGACATGTAGTTGAAAAGTTACTTATAGTTAGTAAAATGTCTACAGTGGACTATCGAAATAAAGTGTTACCATTTTTTTTATATGTTTTAGCTTACCTCAAGGGCCTCCAAGATGTAGGTGTCTTTGTTTCCACAGTATTTTCAATTTTTACATTTTTCGGTCAAACCGTTCTTGTCTGTCAGTCATACAATGGAGGTTTAGGGGGTCCACGTCAAAAAGCATGCACAGAGGAGTCCAAATTAAACATGATTTAATGACTCGTAAATGTAAGTACACATTGATGGCCTAAGACACGAAACGAGCGGTTTGTGAGAAAACGAACAGTATTTATATCGTTTATACCTCTTGTTAACAGCCATGTTCAACTGATCTGGATCAGATGTCCAACTGAACCGAACTGAACCATGTCCAACGTTCCGCTGGAAGGGATCTTGCGCGCGTCTACGTCACGCATTGTTTACACAGAGATTTCTGAAGTTTTACCTTTCACTGTGAAGATCTAAACATATTTAGATATACGGGAAATCGCAATAGAAAATGATTTCAATATATCTAAATATGTTTAGTGAAAGGTAAAACTTCCGAAATCTCTGTGTAAACAATGAGTGACATAGACGCGCGCGAGATCACTACTTGCAGAACGTTGGACATGGTTCAGTACGGTTCAGTTGGACATCTGATCCAGATCAGCTGGACATGGCTGTTAACAAGAGGTAAAAACGATATAAATACTGTTCGTTTTTTCACACAAACTGCTTGTTTCGTGTCTTAGGCCATCAATGTGTACTTACATTTACGAGTCATTAAATCATGTTTAATTTGGACTTCTCTGTGTGGTGGTGACCATAGACCTGCATTATATGACTGACAGACAAGAATGCTTTGACCTAAAAATATCAAAATTGAAAATACTGCGGAAACAAAGACACCTACATCTTGGATGCCCTTGAGGTAAGCTAAAACATATCGAAAATTAATTTCAAAGTGAACTATCCCTTTAATATGAAATAAAACGGTGGAGTGTTCATTTAAGAGATCTCTAAAGAAAATTGTTCAGTACTGTTTTATAGATACTTCACTGTTTTTCAATTGTTGAAAAGAAAAAAGGGAAAAAATATCCTTATTTAACAGGATGTTACTTGTTTGGTTTTGGAATAGTTTTATAAGAAGAGAATTTTAAAGAGAACTGTAGTAGGTAGGAAAGGAATTCTGTACCAGACTATGTGACTTGCATGCTCTGCTTTCAACCACTTTGTAAAGATGTTAAAAACAAAAACATTGTTTTTATTGTCTTTAGTACTTTGTTTTTTTTCTTGAGTGCATTATGTGCTTTATTTCTAAAATGTTGTTGGCGGGCCAGTAATGTTTTAACATTATTGTTGTTGAACAAATAAACATTCTAGTGGTTTGCCAAATGTGTTGTCTTTCTTTGTATTCTCAACTCAGAATTTTGAGTACAATTTGCTTGAGAAATTTAAGGCAATCAGTTTCCACACATTCCTCTAGTAAATAGAACAAGCAGACATGTTAAATTAACTGTTTTGTGTAAGTTCTGCTTACAAATCTCTGTAAGTTGCCTTAACTTGAGATTATTAAGTTACCTGTACTCAAGTTTTATGGTAACCTCTACAAATACACAAGTTAACTCTACAAAGAAGTAGAGAGTAGTATCAAGTCAAAAATGATGACCTAATTTGCTTGAAAATTTTGAGGCAATCAGTTTCCACAGCTTTTCCTAGTAAAGTCAACTTATTACTTTTTACAGTGTAATATATATATATATATATATATATATATACTGTATATAATTCTTTATTAATTCTAATTCCCATATTTGGTCTCGCCTATGGGAGAAAGAAAGAGAGAGAGAAGAAGTGAGATGAAGAAAGTGATTGAGTGAGGGACAGAGCGGATCACATTGGATGCTGAATTGTTGGCAACCGAGGTGAAAATATTGCACTCGACTTAAAAATACAAACAGCCAAGGGGTCAACAATAATGACTTTACAGAAACCAAGACTTGCTTGGCATGCATTTGTAAATGTCACGGCTGAAAATAGCTGCTCTACAGAAAAAAAGAAAAGAAAAGAACAAAGGATTAACAAAAAAGATTGTGTTACCGCAGGTCATTCTGTTAGAGCTACTGTCCCACCAGACTGAATAAAGTTTTTCTGGCTGTCAGACGGCGGCTGGATGAAATAAACACACGGTAAAATGTTACAGGACCCACATTATGCAACTAGAGAACACAGATCAATTAGAGTGGTGACAAATTAGCGCAAGCATTTCATTTAGCAACATGACACCGTCGGCAGCCGCTCTCCTCTCCGAATTACATGGCTGATAGACGCTGCTTCCGAAAGACACAGCGTGATTACGCATGGCTTTTCCTTGGTTAACTTTGTGTATCTATGTCAACAAGTACACTCTAAAAAATGCTGGGTTGTTTTAACCCAACTTTGGGTCAAATATGGACTAACCCAGCCGTTGGGTTAAATTTTTACATTACATTTTTAACCCAGCATGTTGGGTCTGTCCATATTTGACCCAAAATTGGGTTAAAACAACCCAGCATTTTTTAGAGTGTATAAACTTATTTTTATTTGATTTTTTTTACGGCACATTTTTCTAAAATCACAATGC